TTCTTTATTCTTGTGTATCCACATAAAAGTATGTATGTATTTATAAGTATATATATGTAAGTATAAGTACATGTGTATGCCAGTGTATGTATATGTATGATAAGTGTCTGTACAGGCGACAGACAAAAAAATTCTTGAAAGAAACACACAGTTAGACAAAGAAAGTGGGGAGAGAAGGGGAAGGGGGGTGAGAAAAAGGCAACAAAAAAATAAATAATAAAAAAGAGCTAGAGTTACATATATATATATATATATATATATATATATATATATATAAAGAAATGAATAAAAGAAATGAGTGAATGGATTCTTCCCCTCAAGCTAAACGAGACAACAGCATAGAACTGAAGCACTAAAAATTTCAAAAATAAAAATAAATGTTGAGAATATTAAGTGGAAAAAAAATAACGTACTAATGATAAAGATGAGAAAGAGACAGAGTGGTGTGTAAAAGTGGTTTTAAGTGAGTGTGAAAATTAAAAAAAAAAAAATATATATATATATATATATGACATATGATATATGTATAAACAACCGAGCAAAATGAAAAAAATTAAAAAAAAAGATTATTATTATTATTAAATAAAAATAAAGAGAATATGATGGATTAAGATTAATTATCTAATCAATTTCATTATTAAATGAAAGCCTATTAGTAAGCTTTATACTATTTATATATAAAAAAATATGATAATTATATAAAGAATAAAATATTAAATATTAAAAAGAAACAAAGCGATCATTTAATAATTATTATTATATTATTAATTATTAATACAATGAGTATATGAGTGAATGGTGAAAAAAAATTTTAAACTTTATTAATATCGATGATGATAATAATAATATATAATACTTAACAACGATAATAATATTTATTGATTATAAAATAACTTATTATTAATAATAAATTATACTTCCGAGGAGCGATTAAATAAAATAATAATAATAAAAATAATGAATGACATTTTGTATTTTATAACATATGAATTGAAATGATTTATTTTATTTTAATGACTTAAAAAAAAATTAATAATAAATATCTCCGTCTGGAAAAGATAAATAATTTTATCAATTTATAGATTTAAATTAAACTTAAATTTAAAACTGGATAAAATTTGTGTCAGCACTAAAATAGATTTATTCTACTTAAATTAGTTTAATTTTTAATAAATGCTATCAGAAAATTATTCGATAGTACTAATTTGCGTAAATTATTTCATACTTGAAATACTAGATACATATTTTTCAATAACCTCCTTATTTAATTAACATTTGCGGCTAATTAAGTAGTATAAAATTATTTCAGTCGGACATTTCAATTTCTTTTTTAAAAAAAATCATTTCAATTCTTTTTATTATAAAATTAAAATATAATTCACAGATATTTAAAAATAATTTTTATGTGTGTGATAAAAATGTATAAATGTCAATGATTATTAAGTATACATATATATATATATAAATATATAAATAAATGATTTTAGATAACAGATTAAATATCGATCGCACTATAAAATTGTAACAGTTATTTGCTGCCTTAAAATAATTAAAAAAATTAAATTATTAATTAATTATCATCGAAAATAACAGAAAATCAATAAAATTCTCCATTCCCGAGCTAACCCAATGATTGTTGTCCAAATGAAAAAAATACTACATATCGTACCGAATAATTTTATTTTTTTTCATTTCTTCTCTTGTTAAATAAATTTTATCAGAAATTTTTTTAGATATTTTATCGGAGCTTGAATGCAATAAGAAAATAAAAAAAAAATTTTTAAAATGTAATAAAAGAATAATGAGTGGAGAAAAGATAAAAAAAATCTGGAACATTTCCAAGCGGCCGTACCGTATCCTATTGATTTTTATTTCACATCCTGGGGCGATACTAGTTATAGTGACCGAGTAAAGCCAGTGCTGGTAATAACAAGTGAAGCATCGAGTTATAAGTCCGCCGCAAATGAGAAAAATAAAGACCCTGGATTCCACAATCTCGCGATATAGCTCACGGATTTTTTTTTTCTCTTGACTGAAATTATTCAGCACTTTTTATTAATCAAAAGTCAATTTTTAAAGCAAGCTATTTTTAGAAACAATCAATTGGGTTAGTACGCATTCACTATGATTTTTTAAATAATTAGAGTAATATTGGTTTGTTGAAATATTGAGAAGATAGCTGGTTAATTTGAAAAATTATTAATCTAATCTTCATTGGGACCTTATACTGATAATATATTAATCATTTAGAGTACCAAAGTAGATTGTAATCTTTTAAGAACGTTATTTAATACAAATCAGTATATTCCTATTTATATAATATATATATATAATAATCAAAACATTTGGTAATAGGTACGGTAGTTTAAACTTGAGAAAATGTTCAAAAACATTTTTTATTTTTATTATTATGATAATTCAGCTAAATTTTATTTTTCAATTTTATTTTTATTATTATTATTTATTTGTTAATTTAATTTTTTTATTAAATTTTTTAGTTACTTTCTACACAGTTAAAAATTTTGCGTAATTAGGTCAAAAATTTTGGTTTAAATTTTAACACAAAAATTTGTTTTGAAAATTTAATATAAAATTTGTTGAAAGTTTGACAGTAATTTGTTTTAAAAATTAAATACAAAATTTTTAACAAAAAAATTTATTTTGAAAAATATTTTGTTAAATTTTTAATAAAAAAATTTGTGTTAAAAATTTAATACAAAAATTTGTTTTAAAAATTAAATACAAAATTTTTAACAAAAAAAAATTATGTTAAAAATTTAATATCAAAATTTGTTTTGAAAATTTAATAAAAATTTACCCAACAATAAATTGACGTAATAACGCAAAAATTTGAACTTATTCTTATGTAGCTCCGTCGGAAGCGAAATTTTCGCTCAAGTATGTATAGTACATTAATAAAAGTGTGGCTACAAAAAAACCAAAAATAATGAACAAGAACAAAATGAAAAGTAAAACAAACCTTCACACAAGTATATTTACAAGAGGGAAGTTAATTAAATCAATAACAAGTATTGATATTACGACTATAAAAAATAAAGCAAAGTAAATACTTAAATAAATAAAGATCAATCGAATTATACACAAATCCCTCTTGAGTCTGATCTATCGACAGTCTTCAACAAGACTCTAAATACTATAAAAAAAAATTTTAATAAAATATAAAAAAAAGTAAATCGTTCAATTATGTCTTCATAAAAGTAAAAATAATGACGCAAGTCGTTTAAAAATATTTAAGTAATTATTTATTAAAAACTCAACAATCGTGCTTTTTTTTTTGACTGTTGAAATTATTAAAAATTTATGTCTGTAGTTTGATACTGCTACTAAAATAATAATAATAACAATAATAATAATGATAATAATAATAATAATAATAATAATAATAATAATAATAATAATAATAATAATAATAAAATAATTTAAGGCTTTGTTATTTATATTAATAAAACAAAGAATAATCATAGAACTGTTACAATATACAATTTTTTCTTCATTAAATAATAATACATAAATAATAAAAGTCTTGAATTTTTTAACTTAAAAAATAGTATAAAAAAAAAGTGTGATTTTAAATCACATATAATAATTACAATAAAAAAAAAAAACTCTAGATCATTATTACTTAAGACGCGATAAAAGAAGAAATTTTTTTTAAATAAATATTTAAATCCAGCAAATTAATAAGCAAATGTATTTAATAAATAAATAAAGTAAAAATAAATATTATATATATATTTCGTTTAATTTATTGCCAATAATATTATTGTAATTATAAATATATAAAAGAGTTAATAAAACATTGCCAGACTGATGAACTACCGGTGTTGATAATACAAGGAAGTTATGTGAAAGTAAATAAATTTATTAGAAGAAAAATAAATACCGAATATACATAAATATTTCAATTTATTATTATTAAGACTAAAGTTAAGTAAAAAATATAAAAATGAAAAAAAAAAAAAAAACGGATAGTATATTATTAATAAATAAAATATGCCGGCTTATAAATTTTTGCTATTTCTTCCGCTTAACCACAATGTATATTTAAATATTAAATAACTAATAATAATAATAATTTTATTTTTTTTTTATATTATTTTATTAAAATTATTATAGATTATAATATAAATTAAAAATTATATTTAAAAAGGGATTCTGACAGCATGTTGCTGTAAAAGTAGCCCGCAGGCCTAAATTAATACGATAATCTTCATCCTAGTTAATTAATTAATTTATTGTAATTATATTTATTATTATTACCATTATTATTGTTACTGTTGTTGTTGATGTTATTGTTGCTGTAGCTAATCTTATTAAAATTTTTTTTATATTTTATTATTATTATTATTATTAGTGGATTTATAAATCTTATAATTAATTACATACAAGAGTGGTCGAATAACGCAAATAATACACCTAACACCATCACACACATATTAATATTAATACTATGTATTAAAAAAAATATAAATATATATTAAGTATTATGTTGATTTTTGTCATATTATTATAAATCACTCTCTTCAAATATATTATTATAAATTATAATAAAATAATTAAATAAATAAAAAATTAAAAAGTAATTATCTTTATGCACTGTTAAAATATTTTATTAGCTTATTTAGTTAATTAATTATTTTTTTGGTTTTATTTTTGACTAAAAAATTTATTTTATTTGAAATTTTATTTAATCAACCAAAAAATACAGATAAATTATAAAAAAAAAAATATATATAAATTTATCTATTGAATTCATTAAAAATTCTTACCATAAAAAAAAACTCGATTATATTTTTATCTGGATAATTTAATAAATAGAATATATATAATATAAAAAAAAAATCTTAATAAAATTAATTATTTAGCAAATAAAAATGCACGTACGGAATAAAATTGAATATAGTAATGCAATAGATAGTGATGATTAATTACTTCAACAATAAAGATATAATATAATATATTGTCCCGATAATATTTACTCATGTTTTAAATGCACCAGCATGAGCAGCTTTGGTAATAAATGTCTTTAATGTTGCTTCGTCTAGTTTTGAAAAGTGAGATGTTTGGATTACTGCTGTCATATGGTTTAATGCAAATTTAAAACAAAAGTCTTCTAATTCCTGCAAAAAAAAAATTTTTATAAATAATATTTTAGAGAAAAAATAAATAAATTAAACACTTACTTTGGAACTGTATTCAATCGCAGTTTTATATAAAAAAGCAACATTATTTATAGTTATCCCGCGTTTTATCATTTGTACACATTTTCCTTTTAATTGTGTTTCAAAATACGCATTTGCAAGATACATTAGTTCTGTTGAAAACAAATATTTTATGTAAAATTATCAATGTCATATTTCATGTAGTATAAATTACCTAATGCATTTTCAGGTGGTAAATCAACTTGATCAGTGTATAAATATTTTAAAAATGATCTATAGACATCATATGAAAATTCATCATGCACAATAACACTGAAAATAAAATTTATATTTATAGTGATAAATATATATTATTGAAAATAATTATAATTTAATTCTTACGATTGGTTATTTTCAGTCCAATGCTCTTGAAACATTGATCTAAAATATTGACAGCGTATTTTTAAAACAGCTTTATGTACATAAATAGGTTTTCCCTGTACTTGTATTGTCAAATCACTGTGAGTCTATAATATTAATAATTAATTTTATTATTTATAAAACAAAAGAATAATAATAATTTTTAATATGAAATTATATTATTATTATTATTGTTTAGAAAAATTCCAAGTTAATAATAATAATAATAATAATAATAATAATAATAATAAAATACTTACAGAATCATCAAAGGCTTGTTTTAAACAATCCAAAATACTTGTTTCATCTTCAGCATAGAGTACGAGAGGCTCGTGCATAACACTTGGTGTTGAGTAGCAAGCAAGTACATCGTGTAAGTGCAATAATGGAGTCACTGTTGGTGTTGTCACTGTTTGACCCCGACATTGACCCCACATATAAACTTTTCCACCCTCAGCTAATGCTGCACTTATGTGATTACAGTGTATTGCTGCAATGTCACTTACTCTACCCATGTCTCCAATTGTCAGCTATTATTTACCAAAATAAATAATTATGTTATTATTAAAAAAAAATTAAAAATTTGTCAAATGTCCACCAATTTTAATGTCATTAATTTAAAATTAAAATTTCATACTTTAACCGGTTGACATGCGTTCGATTTAGTTCCTAAACCCAACTGTCCATATCCATTGCCTCCCCATACGTAAACATCACCTTCGTCACTCAATGCCATTGTATGTGAATAGCCACAAACAACTTTAGCTGTTGATAAAAAATTATAAAAATTATTATTATTATTAATTAAGCTTAAAAAAATTTAATAAAAAAAAATTACCAATTACAATTCCAGTCAGTCCAGTGACTTTTTGAGGACTTAATTGATTAATGTAAGTACCAACTCCTAATTGGCCAACACTGTTATTACCCCATGCATAAACCTCACCGTTATTAGTAACGGCAACACTTGATGTTTGTCCGCATGCTATCTGAATTATTTTTTTACCAGCTAATCCAGAATTTATTTTACGTGGAGTATTTTGATTAGTACTTATACCACTTCCAACTTGTCCGCAAGTATTTTGTCCCCATCCATAAACCTATTAATACAAAAAATTATTATTATTATTATTATTATTATTATTATTATTATCCAATAAATATAACAAATTTATATTTATTTGACATCTAAAAAATTTTTTTACTTTTTTTATAAATCAATTTTAATATAAAAGTATTTTTTTTTAAATTTGCACTCATAATTTTTTTAAAATAATATAGTTATAAAAAAAGATATTGAAATTGAGAAACATATGATATTTTTATAAAATTTTTTAACAAGTAAATTATTACAAGAAAAATTTATTTTATAAATTCCATCTTTAGAAGCTAAAATATTATAAATGCACTTTTTAAAAATAATTTTTTGGAACAAATTAATTTAGCAGATGTTTGATAATTAAAAAAATTTTTTTACAGTCGACTGTTAGCCGTCAAGGTGTACAGACCTATCACGGAATAACGAGTCATTTTATACAGTGTTACCAGTGCCTATACTAAGTGTTATTAGTGCTAACTGTTAAAATTCGAAACTTAAAAAAAAAAAAAAAAAGATCTTTACGGTGCAAAGTTAAGATCCAGTTTCAGTGACTGGAGTCCTGTAAAGGACAAGACAAAACCAAAATGTCCCAAAATAACAGCCAAAGTTCATTGTACCTCAACGCAATCAAAAGCCAACAGTTCCCAACAAAAGATCAAGCTATCGTCATTGACGCATCACCAAAAGCACAAATCCAAGATTATGTAACCAGCCTCGCATCCTACGTTAAACCCGAGCAAATCAAATTCGTCTCCAGAATCTCCAACAACAGAGTATGTGTATACTTTTCGAACCAACAAGTCGCCCAAGAATTCGTAAGCAAACAACAAAAAATCAAGGTAAACAACAGTATCCTACACGTTAGACCCTTAATCACCAAAAACATTAGAGTAGTGTTATCAAACGTATGCCCAATAATCCCTCATGATATCATCGAACAGGAATTCGCCAAGTTGGAAATAAAACAAACGTCAAAAATCACCTTCTTGAAAGTGGGACTCCAAAATCCAGCATTTAACCACATAATGAGCTTTAGAAGGCAAGTTTACATATCGCCCCAAGACAAAGAAAAGCTCCCAGAGTGCATAAAAATCACATTTGACGAAACAACCTACTACATCTATCTATCTACCGACACTCTATCCTGCTTTATCTGCAAAAAAGAAGGTCACTTGGCGAAAAACTGCCAAACTCAAGACAAAACAACTAAACCAGACAAAGACCAGAACAAGAGCCAAAGCGAAGAAACGCTTGAGCTTTGGGCTGACTCACCTCAAGAATCGACATCATCCCAATCTACAATCACACTGACACACTGACAGAAGTGATAAGCTAAGCAACTCACTAACGTTCAAAGCCCCTCCCCTGCCGGATATAACAGGAAACAAAAGGCCACGCACTCCCTCCAGTGTGGTTTCCGATCCCTCTCATGCACACAAACACAAACTGCCTAAAGACACTGGAAGTTCCACTGAATACGATTCATCTGATAGCGAGCTTCCAGAAAAAATCCAAAACAACCGTACAAAAAAGCTAAAAGCACAAGATAAAATACTACAGGAGGACTGGATCTCAATTTCACGAATAATTTCCCAAAACAAAGAGTACCCACTAACCACGCTCCAAATAAAAGACTTCTTCACCAAGTCTTGTAGCAACAAATATCCAGTAAAACTAGCCCTACAATTTACAGACAACCTACCAAGCCTACAAAAAATGTTGACAGACCTTCACCCTCACCTAAGCTCAAGCCTCAAGAACAGAACCACACGAATCACAGGCGTCCTAGAAGAATACTTAACAACAAATACCGAGATGAACGACAACCAAATGGAAACCGAAACACAACAATAAAACCTACCTCCAACAAGCAAAACTCACCCAAAAAATCCACTTCTCAAATTCATTACTAACAACATAGCATCCTCATACTACAATGGAACCTTAACGGTTTTAACGCCAGAAAGGAAAGACTACAGCTTTTAATCACCAAGTACCAACCAGACATCATCTGTCTCCAAGAGACAAACTTCAAAAACCAATACTGTGCGAGTTTAAAAGGTTATACAACATTAAACAAAAATAGAGCCAATGCCCTTCATGCCAGTGGAGGAGTGGCAATCTACATAAAAAAACGGCGTCTCCTCACAATCTGAGTCGCTTGACACTAACCTCGAAGCAGTAGCTACAACGATTAAAACTCCTGAAAAAATCTCTATATGCAACTTATATCTACCTGGTAGTATACAAATAAATAAAAAAGACATAACAAAAATAACCGAGCAACTTCCAACGCCAAACATAATACTTGGAGACTTAAACGGGCATAACTACTTATGGCACTCAAAATCAATCAACGACAGAGGAAGAGTAATAGAAGACTGACTATCAGAAAATGACACAATATAGTTTTACTCAACAACGGCCAACCAACTCACTTCTCAGCTGCCTCAGGTAATCAAAGTATCGTCGACCTCACCTTCGCATCAGCAAACATCGCCACAAAAATTGAATGGAACGCTCTAGACGACCTCCACGATAGCGACCATTACCCAATCCTAATCTCCATACAAGATCAGCAAACCAACTCCACCGAAGCCTACCCAAAAAGATGGACAATCAAAAAAGCAAACTGGTCCCAATACCAAAACGCAATACTCGCAGAAATCTCCAGACTCGAAGCACCAAGTAACAATACATAGTTGAACATCGACACTATCCTAGCCGACTTCAACAACCTAATCACACAGGCAGCAAACGAATCTATCCCTCAAACAAACGGTAAACAACCAAAGAAGCAAGTACCATGGTGGAACCCAGACTGTGACAAAACTCTTAAAGAATCCAAAAAAGCCTACAGAAGCTACAAAAAATTCCCCTCAGAAGAAAATAAAATAAAATACAAAAAACTGAGAGCCAAAGCACGCCAAACACTGAACCAAAGTAAAAAAACCTCTTGGGAAAACTTTGTCTCAACAATTAACACCCACACTCCAGCAGCAGTAGTTTGGAAAAAAATCAAAGCCATGAAATCAACCCCTATAACCTCAACAACTTTCCTAGAAAGAACGGACGGTTCCTTCGCTAAAGATGCCAAAGAAATAGCAGACTACCTTGCGGAAACGTTTGCCAGAAATTCTAGTGACCTAAACTACGATCAAGCATTCCTTCAAAACAAAACACTAAACAGAGAAAACACAAAAACTCGGCAAAACTGTAACCTGGATTACATCAATAAGCTCTTCTCACTCAGGGAGCTAGATAAGATTCTTAGCAACTGTGGAGACTCCAGTCCAGGCCCAGACAACATTCCCAACGCACTGATCAAGCATCTACCCGCTCAAGGAAAAGAATATCTTCTACAAATACTCAACTTCATCTGGGAAGAACAAGTCTTCCCAGAACTCTGGAAACAGTCAACTGTGGTCCCAATATTAAAACCAAGCAAAGACAGCTCCAAAGCCAGTAGCTACCGACCAATCTCCCTTACGTGTAACATGTGCAAAATCTTAGAAAAAATCTTAGCAAAAAGGCTAAAATGGAAAATGGAAAAAGAAGGCTGGATTGACAAGCATCAGTTCGGATTCCAAAACTTTAAGTCCACCACCGACTACCTAGCAAGACTAGAAGCGGACGTCTGTGACGCCTTCGTAAACAAACAACACTTAGTAGCAGTATCATTAGACATTGAAAAAGCATTCGAAATGGTATGCAAAGAAAACGTCATCAAAGCACTCGAAGAAGCCAATCTCACCGGTAACAGCCTTGCTTTCATCAAGAATTTCCTGCTCCAACGTACAATCAAAGTCAGGTACAATAACACACTCTCACACCCAGTAGAAACGGTAAACGGAGTACCAACAGGTTCCGTACTAAGTACCATCCTCTTCCTAGTTTCAATCAACCCAATCCTAGAGGCAATTCCTACCCCACTAAAAGCTTACTTATTTGCCGATGACCTAACAATAGTCGGCACAGGAAACAACATTACAGTAACTACCCTGCTGTTCCAATCAGCTCTTGATAACATAAACGCATGGACACAAACATCGGGGTACAAATTCTCAGCACAAAAATCAAATTACATCATATTCTCAAAAAAGAAAATAAATGGTCCATGTAAGCTCTACATAAGAGACCAACAAATAACCAGACGAGAGGAAATCAAGATACTGGGTCTAATTTGGGACAGCAAGCTAACCTGGGCACCACACATTAAACAACTAAAATCTGAATGCCAACGTCGAACAAATATCATTAAAGTACTAGCGTCCACGCACTGGGGATCAGCAGCACAAGTACTAATAAAGACATACAAAGCTCTGATAGAAGCAAAACTTAACTACGGTACAGAAATCTACAGTTCAGCTACAAACTCCAACTTAAAGCTCCTGAACTCGGTCCAAACAACAGCGTTAAGACTAGCGGTAGGAGCCTTCAGATCAAGCCCAACATATTCCATCTTAGCAGAGGCCAACGAAATCCCGTTAAGGCTCAAACGAATGGAACTGGCAATCCGTTTTACCACTAAAACACTTTCAACTGATCCAGACTTTCAAACAAAAAATAGTTACTTAGACACTGAATACCAAAACCACTCCGAGCGAGAATCCAAAGCTACTTGGCACAAACCAACCTAAATCTCCAAAAAACATTCAAAAGGTCACACTACACCCAATTCCTCCTTGGGAAACAGTCGAAATCAGCACGAACTACGATCTCAACGAACGAGAAAAGAAAATCACAGCCTCCAAAACATTCCTGTCACTGTTCCAAGAGATTAAAAACAAACACATTGAATATAAAGATGGCTCCAAAATGGACTCTGAGACAGGCTTCGCTGTCATCAGTGAAAATAGCACAATAGCACACAAACTACCAGACTCCTACTCAATTTTTTCATGCGAACTATACGCAATAATGCGAGCTCTCCAAGAAGGAACACGAACAAACGAGAAGATAGTGATCTACTCCGACTCCAAATCCAGCATACAGGCCATAGAAGACCTGCACTCAACAAACCTCCTAGTGCAACAAATACACCAAACTCTACCACCAAAGCAAAGAAACCAAAGTAGCCATAGTTTGGGTTCCATCCCACCAAGGCATTGAGGGAAATGAGAAAGCAGATGAAGAAGCAAAGAACGCCGCTAGAGCAGACCAGTTGAACCCCAACATTCAGGCGACCTGGGAAGACACCAAGAAATACATTAAATCGGCTGTAAGAAAGCATTGGATTACCTCCTGGAACACGACATACAACTCAGATAACCAAGCAACACTGAGCTATGAGACTAAGACACCACCTCACCACCAACTGACTCGCAGAGATCAATGCACAATAACCAGGCTCAAAATTGGCCATACCAAAGTCACACATGCTCACTTATTTGAAAAATCAAATAGACCGAATTGCGAAAACTGCAACTCCCCACTAAATGTCAAGTACTTATTAATTGACTGCAACCTCTACACCAACCAGAGAAACAAACATCATCTACCAGCTACGCTCCAAGAGATACTCAACACTCCATTAGGCAACCGAAGGCTCTTACAGTTTCTGAAAGACACCAAACTATACGACAAAATTTAAAATAAAAAAGAAAAATCACTTCCATGTATCAAAATACTCTCACATATATGTAATAAACTATTGATGTAGTCGCTCATGACCTCGATGTTCTATAGCGACATTAAATAATTTAATAATAATAATAATAATAATAATAATAATAAAAAATTTTTTTTAGGATTTAAATTACTTAAAAAACCTGTAAAAAAATTTACGTGTGGAAATTTTAAAAAAATAAAAAATGCAATTTTTTAGAGAAATTAATTTAGCAGATGTTTAATAATTAAAAAAATTTTTTTAAGAAATAAATTACTGCAAAAAAGAATTGACATTTAAAAATGAAAATGATTTAATTTACCTCTCCATCTTCAGTCAGTGCCAATGAATGATGGCTACCACAAGCAATTGCAACGATAGGTTTGTCCTCAAAATTAGAAGCAACCTTACTTGGCAATGGATTTTGATTAGATGATCCATTTCCTAGCTCGCAGTAACCATTGTGCCCCCATGAGTAAACTTCTCCTTTATTAGTAAGTGCCAGGACATGAGGTCCCACGCCAAATGCAAATGTCTTGACACCTTTCAGAGTCAGAGCTTCTATTTTTACAGGATACAAAGTGCTGTGAGTGTCACCTGTGCCCAAACACCCTGACGTGTTGCTTCCTAGTGCGTATACTTTACCGTCTTTTGTTACTATCAACACTTCATTGCCAAGTAATCCTTTAATAATAATTTTTTTCTTGTAAAAATTAATTTAGCAGATATTTAATAATTTTTTTAACAAAAAAAAATGACGTAGAAAATTTTTAAAAATAATTTTTTTGAACAAATTTGTTTGATAAAAAAATTAAAAAACGCTCAATTGATTGCTAATTTTAATGTCATTTTTTTTTATTTGTACAAATATCAAAGTTTTTAATTAATTATTGTTATAATTACCAAAAACAAGTATTGTATGAATCTCACTGATAAATTCACGATTAAGCAGACTAAGGATTGGCCAATTTTTTAAATCAACACTTGCCATAATATTTGTCATAATAAAAAAACACAATAAAAAAAAACAAAATTCGGTTTTATAAAACAGTTAGGATTTTTTCACAAAAATTTATTTATTATTTTTAATTTGACATTATTAATCTTAACATTTTTCTAGTTACTTAAACAGATCACAATTTAGTTTTTATAATTATGACAATAAAAATAAAAATATGTTATTAATTATTTGACATTTAGTAAGGAGCACAAATTGATGAATTATTTACGTTGTGAATTGATATATATATATATAGGTTATATATATATATAGGTTATATATATATATAGTACTAATCACTCTGTTGATAATAACAAAATTGGCAAAACTACTGCAATCACTGGTTGGTAAGAATTTTTTTCTAAATTTTTTTGCCGCCAAAAAATTCTTAAAATTATTAAATATCTGCTAAATAAATTTTTATTAAAAATTTTTTTATTACGACACTAAAATCAGCAGATGTTTGAAATTTTTTTCAATTAATTGAATTAAAACTAAACAAACATTTTTTTAAAAATTGCAATTATAATTATTTAAATTTTAAACGTCAAATTTTTATTTTTTTCTATTCGTTTTTTTAATAAAAAAAAATCGTCAGATGTCTGCTAATTTTATTCTCATATTTTATTTATTTTTTTAGCAAAAATTTTACAAATACAATAAATAATTTAAAAAACATTTTTTACATAGAAAAATATTATTAATTAAATTGTTAAAAAAATTTTTCCTACTATTAATAATTAAAATAAACAATTACATTCAATCAGACAGTAATCATAGTCCACAATTTTTTATATAAAAATTGACAATAAATTTTATTTTTTTTGTTTATAATAATAAATACAAAATTTATTATAATAAATAATAACTTAGTAAAAAAGAAAGAATAATTTTTAAAATTAATAAATATCTACACTTTAATAATTGAAGTTTTATTATATCCTAATAAAGCTATCGTCTCGCCATTGGGACTCCATTTGCCATTAATAACTTTCATCCCTCGCGGAGATTCAAATAGTTGCACTTTTTTAATTGGATGCCATTCAACAATTATTGGAGACTCAGAAAAAATTAATAAGCGGGTTTTTGTCGGCTCCCATGCAATTCCTAATTTAAAAAAAAAACAAAAACATAATTAATACTCTTTTAATTTTTATGATACTGAAGTTAGACATTTAAAAATTTTTTTAATAATTAAATTATTACAAAAAAAATTCGAAAATTAAAAAAATAAAAATTGCAATTTTTTTAAAATAATATTTCGGAGCAAATTTATTAATTAAGTAAAATCAAAAAATGTTCAAGTGACTGCAAACTTTAATTTCATATTTATTCGTTATAAAAACTCGAAAAATTTTCAGATTTCAGTATCATTAATTTTTTTTATCTATACTTCTGTACTAATACTATAGAGAGGAAAGATTTGATTGTTTGTTTGCATTTAATAGGCTCCGAAACTACTGAACGGATTTGAAAAATTCTTTCACTGCTGGGAAGCTACACTATCCACGGGGAACATAGGCTATATTATATTTTCAAATTTTTGTTAAATACCCGTGCGAAGCCCGGACGCGCTACTAGTATAATATACATATATATATGTATGAAAAATATATAAAAATGCATATGGGTACTCAAATGAAAGCTCTTGATGAGTGTATCATCGGGATGAGCTTATATCTACAAAAATGTTAATAATTAAAAAATTGCCTTGTATTTTGTGAAATATTGACATTTTTGAAGATATAAGCTCATCCCAATGTTATACTCATCGAGACCTTTCATTTGAGTACCCACATCAATTTTTCATATATTTATATATATTACATATATATATATGTATATATGAAAAATATATAAAAATGCATGTTGGTACTCAAATGAAAGCTCTTGATAAGTGTATCATCGGAATGAGCTTATATCTTTAAAAACTTCAATATTTAAGAAAGTACAGTGCAATTTAACAAAATTCATTATTTAATAAAGCAAAGTTTCAATTTTTTATAGTTTACAAGTCACGGCAGTTACATAGTGACTCCAAGGTTGCTAGTTTAATATAAAAATGATTACCTGATATTGAATTTTTTAATAAAATATTATCAACGCAATCGTCAATCAGATCCCAAATCCAGAGAGTCGAGGGATAAACTTGATGTCTTATCGCCAAATATTTACCACATGGACTAAATGACAGAATATCAATTGCTGCAATAGACACGTCCCAATATTTAGGTTCAATATCTATTGGAATATTTATGGGTCTGTCTAATACTTGCTCCAAAGTATACTTAATATGTTGATCATGTATTAAATTATTCGACAGATAATTAGACCAATCTCTCCTAGTAATATCAATTTCTTTATAAATTTTTCCAAGATAATTATCATCCTCTTTGATTACCGGCTTACAGTGCAATTCATTAATTACGGACCAAGTAACATGATTTATCAATGCAACCGTTTCATTATAACCAGCAATAGCTAATATTTGTCCACTGGGACTCCAAACAACTTGCTCAATTCCTTTAATTGGTTTCTCAATTGTGTCACTGCAAGGTAAATTATTTCCTTCGACATTAAATACGCCGATGTGTGTATCTGTTGTCATTGAGTATATTAGTATTCGGGATTTTCCAATTATTGAACACCAAATAGCCAATAACTCTCCATTGGGTGACCATGATACCCCGTCAATGCTGAATAATTTATCGCAGATCAATCTCTGTAATAAATAAAAATAAAAATTCAATTTTTTCCGAGAGTTAAGCTTAGAAAATAATTACAATAGTATTTATGATGCTAAAATTGACATTAGAAATTTTTTTTTATAATTTTTTACCAATTTAATTTTTATGAAAAAAATTTAATAAAAAATTTTCAAGTGTGAAAATTAAAAAAAAAATATAAGGGGAGATTTTTAAAAGTATTTTTTATTCAATATTTTTAAATTATTGACGTTAGAAAATTTTTTTTTAATTTTAGAGCAATTAAATTATTAAAAAAAAAAAAATTTAATAAAAAAATTCCAAATGTGAAAATTAAAAAAGAAATATGGGAGGGGGATTTTTAAAAGTATTTTTTATTAATTTAAAGACTTTTAAATTATTGACATTAGAAATTTTTTTTAAATTTTATAGAGCAATCAAATTATTAAAAAAAAAAATTTAATAAAAAAATTCATGACATTTAAGTTAGCAGACACTAGAGAATTTTTTAATTTTTTTTATCAAAAAAATTTGTTCCAAAAAATTATTTTTAAAAAATTGCATTTTTAATTTTTTAAAATTTTTACATGTCAATTTTTTTTTTGCCATAATTTATTTGTTAAAAAAAAGTTCTAAAAATTATTAAATATCTGCTAAATTTATTATAAAAAATTCCAAATGTGAAAATTAAAAAAACATTGTAATTGAAAATTTTTCAAGTTTTTTTTTTTATAATAATTGATTTGTTACAAAAATAAAAAAAAAAATTGACAGTTGTCAGCTAACTTCAGTATAATTATTATTTATATTGTTATTATGATTGATTTGTACCAAGAACTAAAAAAATTAAAAAATTGACAGATGTCAGCTAACTTCACTATACTGAATTTAAAATATTTTTTAGGTTATAAATACACAACCCAAGTTTACACTATTTACACGTGATTTTCATAAAACAAACCTTAAATTAAATTAAAAAAAAAAATATTTAATTTAATAAATAAAAATGAAAGTAACAACGAATTATATATCATGTGCGTCAAATTGTCAACCTCGTGCAATAGATTGGTGCCGAAATAATAACATAATTTGTTACGCGAGTTCCAATTCCGTTGTAATATACGACCCCGATTATTTAGAAACTGGCCGAGTAATTGACAAACTTGAGAAGCATGAGAGTCAAGTTAAAGTAGTTGAGTGGATCTATGAAAATAATAGTGATGATTGCTCAGCACCTAAAATTTTATCAGCTTCACTGGACGGTAAAATAATAATCTGGAGGGAATCTGTCACCAAACATTACAAGCCAAATATTATCGTTTCCTTAGACAGTGATTTGTCAACAGCACACGCAGCTTATTGGCCTAATCCTGATTCCTCAACAAGTAAGAAAAATAATTTATTGATAGCCGGATCATCATTTAAAGGCGAGTTTAAAATATGGTACCATCAATCATTGACTTTCCTTCACCAGGAATTGGATTTAAAAAAAAAAATTCCAAACGAAATAAAAATCTCATCATTGCCAGGTGAAAAATCAATTCCAGTGATAATAATGTGTCTTGATGACGCAACAATTCATCTTTACACTTGTAATCCCAGTTCGCTCAATAAAAATAGCCCGGAATTAAATTTCAATCATACAATTGAGTTACGCGGCCATCAAGACTGGATCCAGTGTCTTGATATTGTCAAATATAATTCCAATGAAGCTTTTATGGCCAGTGGGTCTCAAGACGGCACCATAAGACTCTGGAAAATCTCATCAATCCCCCCAGAAGCTGTTGATGAAGAGCAGCGGTATCAATTCAAGGTAGATGATGATAATTTTGATATTTCTTTAGAGTCAGTGCTCACTGGACATGATCACTGGGTCAACGGAGTCCACTGGTCGCCTGACAATAAAAATCCTTTGAAACTACTCTCAAGCGGGTTGGACCAAACGATTATCATTTGGGAGCCGAGTCCGAGTGGTGTTTGGGTTGAAACAGTTAAACTGGGCAAAGTCGGTGGTAACTCTCTAGGTTTTTACGGGTGCAAATTTAACTCCGACGGGTCTTCAGTACTAGCCCAGGGGTACCAAGGTACCTTCCACTTGTGGAGATACAATGAAGAAATTAAAAAATGGTACCCACGTTCGGGACCAACCGGACACTTCAGCGAAGTGACTGACTTGCATTGGGAACCACGGGGGAAGTATTTGCTAACTACAAGCTTGGACCAGACGACAAGAATTCACGTACCATGGCCTTGTAAAAAATCATCATCAATGACACTAAATTGGCATGAAATTGCACGCCCACAAATTCACGGGTATGATATTAATTGTTTAACAATATTAAACTCGACAATGTTCTGCTCTGGCGCTGATGAGAAAGTCATACGGGTTTTTAAAGCACCAGCTGGATTTTCTGAAGCTCTGACTGCTGAAGATTGGAGCAAGGCGTTGAATATGACTGATTCAAGCGCTTCAGTTCCAGCATTGGGACTGACTAATAAAACCAGCCAGGAGCAACATCAGTATTTAAATACTTCTGATATTAATGAGCTTGATAATAATGATGGTAATTTTATTAAAAGACCACCGACTGAAGAAGAAATAATAAGATACACCTTGTGGCCCGAGTTGGAAAAATTGTACGGGCATGGGTATGAATTATTTTCAATAGCAGCTCGCAGTGATGGAAAATTGATAGCGACTGGTTGTAAGTCGACGTCGCCTGAACACTCGGCTATCATTTTATGGAGCACCGAGACCTGGGCACAAATAGGTAAGCTGATGAGTCATCGGCTTACTGTGACACAGCTTGAATTTTCTCCCGATGGAAAATATTTACTATCGGTGTCGCGGGACAGACGCTGGAGTCTTTTCGAAGCTGATTCATCGGGTGATAATTTAAGTTATAATTTAGTAGCTTGTTCACCAGCTAAATCACTTCACACGAGGATTATTTGGTGCTGCAGCTGGAGTCATGACTCTAAATACTTTGCGACCGGGTCACGTGATGGTAAAGTTGGACTTTGGAAAGTTGATCAACTTGGAAATAATCAAAATATTTTACCCGTTGAATCATTAGAATTTCCGGATGCTTCTGTAACCGCTCTAGATTTTTACAATGATTTTATTAATGATTCCTATGTCTTGGCTATTGGTTGTGAGGATGGTACCATTCAATTGCAGACAATACCACAACAATTTTTCGATCGTAAGATGTATAATATAGAGAGTGAATGGGTTTGTTGGATAAAACTTGATAATACAGAAGCTCATCATAAAACTGTTAAAAGATTAGCATTTAGACCGACGATTAAAAATAATAATTGCGATATTGAATTAGCAAGTTGTGGAGCTGACAAAGCTGTCAAAATTTATAATTTTCATTTATTGTAATTAAAATTTTTTATTCTTTTAAATAAATTAATAAATATTTACTTACGCGTGATAATTTCCAGTCCTTTGATTTATATATTTCTATTTTATCTGTTTTATCTGTTGTTAAAATAATTGCTAAGCATTCTGTTTTGTTATTTATGGCCAAGAATTTTGCTGATGATTTAATATTCCAGATGTGGGTTATTGTTTGCTCGGTCAGTGTTATTATTGACAGATAAATCTATTAACAGAATAAATAAAAATTTTTTATTTTTCTTTAAAAACAAATTAGGTCTAGAAAATTATTTTTAAAAAATTGTATTGATTATTTTTTTGAGCTTCTAAAAATTGAATTTTTAAAATAAATTTTTCTTGTTATGATTTATTAAAAAAATTCAGATATCATAAAAATTAAAATATCAGTTAATTGCATTACTTAAAAAAAAAAAAATAAATAAATATAAATTAATTATACTTACATTTAAATCAGAAATAATAATTATTGATTTACAATCAGGTCCCCAAATAACTTTTTCTATTCCTCCACTTCCTTCAGTGTACTTAAAATTAAATTCTTTGCGTTTTATTGTAAATATTTGTATAACTCCTTTTTTTAAATTTGTACAGAGAATATACTGATCATTTGGACACCACTCGATACTCTGAAAATATAATTATATTAATTAAAAATGTAAAATATATAATTGTTTATTTTTACAATTATGTATAACCTCAATTGGATCTGTCAAATCAAGCAATAAATAATCTTGCAATGTTTTTGCGTGTTTTATAATCAACTCATTTTGTAAAACAGTTGCTAAATATTTACCCGAAGGTGAATATTCACATAAATTTTTATTTATACGAAACATTATTGTTTACAAAGCGTAAGTCTTGTTTATTTTTGTGAACATTAGTAAACATGTGTAAAACAGAACCGGGCACATTTGAACGTTTGTTAAAAAAAAACACTTGACACTTTCTATAATATCATCAACAACTAAAAAAGTTCCGTCATCATAAGTCATTTAAAATTAAAAACTCACTTATTAAAGAATAATTTTTCATTGATATATTTTTATTAGGATTAAAATACTTACTTTAATAAAACTTATTATTTAAAAATGATACTGAAGTCAGCTGACAGCTGTCAATTTTTTTTTATTTTTATAACAAATCAATTATAATATTTATAATAAAAAAAAAATGCTTTTTATTATCGACAGATATTATAATTTTTTTAATTTTATAGCAATGAAATTATGATGAAAAAAATTTAATAAAAAAATTCCACACGTGAAAATTAAAAAAAAATATATTAGTGGAAATTTTTGAAAGTATTTTTATTATTATTAATAATTTATTATAAGAATTTTAAAAATTGACAGCTGTCATCTAACTTCAATATCATTTTTAGGTAGATTTCATAGAAATCAATCTTTTGCATTGGTCCTCATGTCGGAATTTACTCGGAATTTTGTTGTAATATCACTTAACTAGTCGAGTAAAGCTCAAAAATAACGTTAGTTAAAAAATTTATATATATGTATGTAATATAACGCACGCGGGATGTTGCCGCGATTGTGTCTACAGTTCTTGACGGATCTAGATGAAATTTGTTACACATATTCTTTGGATAATAACCTTGAATGAGTTCGAAGATGAGCGAAATCCATCGATAAGTTTAGAAATGGCAGCTCTTCAAAATTATCAAAATAGTGAAAATCACGTTTTTGGTGACTCTATTGATGTATAACTTTTGATTGAAAAGAGATGGATAATTTTTAATAAATTCATGTGAAAGGTCATGAAATTACCTTCAATTTGCCGTATATAACATTGACATTTTGACCATTTTTAATTATTTTATCGAAGTTAAAAGTTCTATTGAACCATTTTCAAGCAATGAGTAGTGCAATCGACTTATGAATGTTATTCTGTCGAGAATTCATAACAGATCCCAATGAAATTTAGTATACAAATTCATTTGACAATTAGCTTGCATGAGCCTTAAAATGACCGAAATCCTTCGATTAGTTCAGAAATAGTAGCTCTTCAAAATGATCAAAATAGGAGAAATTTGTAACAAAAACTTTTAAAATTGACAGCTGTCAGCTAACTTCACGATATTAATTTTTTTCAATGACATTAAAGTAAGCTGTCACTTGATAATTTTTTTATTTTTTTTTAATAAATAAATTTACTCCAAAAAATTATTTTTAAAAATTTCTACATGTCAATTTTTTGTTCTAATTTTTTTTTTTGTTAAAAAAATTCTAAAAATTATTGAATATCTCTAAATTGATTTTCAGTTTTTTTAATAATAATTTAATTGTTATAAAATTATAGAAGTTAACTTCAGTGTCTTGTTTTTAAAAAACTAAAAAACATTACTAGTGGCGCGATCTCTAAATTTTTTTTCAAGTGACACATTTGCCACCGCGCATCGCGCATTGGAACACCTCCCTTTACATTACCTTAGCTTAAACTGTTAAACTGTTAAGCTGGCTGCTGACGTCACAGCCGTCAGAAATTCAACATGAAAACGGGAGCAGATACTAGTCAGCTGACCTGAGTCTTGTGATAACTGAACGGACTGGTAAGGCTCGCCCCAGCTTCAGCTTGCCTTTGCTTGGTTGAGTGTTGGATTATACGTGTGTCAGCAGTAGTACTACTGTCCTATCTCTGTAAGTTGTTTTTTTTTTATTTCATTTTTTAACAATATTACAAATAACAAAATTTAAATAAATTTACATCTATTTTATTAATATCATAACAATCATAATCAAACAAGTTATTATAAAAATAAATAATAAATTTATTTAAGTATTAATAAATATTTGCGGCTATTGATCGTCTACGCCATAGCCCGTCTCATACAATTATCTTTTATTATTTTTAATTGAACACCCGCCAATTGTTAATTAATTCAAAATTATTTTTTAATAGGTTTTTAATTGAATAATTATTTCCAAATTGTATTTAATACTATTACAATAAAATATATTAATTATAATTTTATATATATTTTTAGTGGTATGATATATTATTTTATTGAGACACTCGCGCACTGGCTGGGCTACGCCTACATTTCGAATTGCTCACGTGAATCCACAAGTACATGTTCATTTCTAACATATTACTGAAGGACATTGTTAAAAAAAAATTATTTTGGTTTTTATTTTGAAATTTTTTCTTTTTATTATTATTATTAAGTTACTTAATTATTGAAATAAAAATAATTTATTGGAGTTTTTTATAGTTACAAATATTGTGTCAAAATTAAATTTATCTTCAAGTGATTTATTATTATCATTATTATTTATTTTTAAAATTTATTTACAGATAAAAGGAAAAACTAAAACAAAAACAATCAACAATGACATCTTTACCAAAAATAGTAAACGAGCATCGTGAGGGGAAGTTTGGATATGTATACGCAGTATCTGGACCTGGTAATTATTAAATTTTTGTCGCTATTTTAAAATAACTCAAATTTTTAATATTACGGCGAAAATATTGATCCTCTAAAAAAATTTTGGTAAATATTTACAAGTGGGGTCAAGCATTTTAATCTTGATTTTTTTGAACGAAATTTTTATTTGATTTTATTGATATATTTTTTTTTTAAAAATACATAAAAAAAATTTACACAATTTTAACAAATTTTCAAAAAAATGTATAAATTTTTTAGAAAATTGTGATATTCAACTTTTTTTTTTTAATTGTTCGTTTTTTTATGTACTTTTCAAAAAAAAATATAAATCAAAAATATCAAAAAAAGATAAAATAGAAATTTTATCCAAAAACATGAGCCAAAATTTTTTCCAACTTTTGAAGGCAAAAAAGTTATCGAAATCTTTATATTTTTTTCTTTCACGACATTTTTTTTATAAATCCGTCGTAAAAACAAGCAGAATAAAAAAAATTTTTTAAATGTTAATTTTTCTCCTAGTTATGGCTCAAAGTAGGTTTGACGCCACTTGTAAAAAAATTACCAAAATTTTTCAAACAAAAGTTGTTCAAAATTTAATTTTATAAAAAAAAAATGTATCTTATGATTTTTTATAAAAATCAATATTTTCGCTGCAATTCCAAAATTAAAATTTATAAGAAAAGTTTAAAATTTTGTGATAATTATAAATCTTAATTATGAAATTACAGTGAAATTATTGATTCTAAAGAAAAAACATAAGAGACAATTTTTTTTTTTTACAACATTAAATTTGAAACAACTTTTGTTTGAAAAATTTTTATAGGACCAATATTTTTGCCATAATATAAAAAATTTGAACTGTTCTTTTGAATTTGCGGTAAAAATCTTTTAAAAATAATTTATTAATAAAAATAAAAAAATTTCAGTCGTTACGGCGGAGAGAATGTCCGGATCAGCTATGTACGAACTGGTCCGTGTTGGTTATTACGAGCTAGTAGGAGAAATCATTCGTTTAGAGGGTGATATGGCGACTATTCAAGTATACGAAGAGACATCAGGAGTAACAGTGGGTGATCCAGTTCTCCGAACTGGTAAGCCCTTGTCAGTCGAACTGGGTCCAGGTATTCTTGGCAGTATTTTTGACGGTATCCAGCGTCCACTAAAAGACATTCACGAGCTGTCTGGATCTATTTACATCCCTAAGGGTGTTAATATACCATCGCTATCTCGTACCGCGTCTTGGGAGTTCAATCCTTTGAATATTAAAACCGGTAGCCATATGACTGGTGGTGATTTGTACGGAATTGTTCATGAAAATACTCTTGTTAAACATAAAATGATTTTACCACCCAAGAGCAAGGGAACAGTTACTTATATCGCACCAGCTGGTAATTACACTGTTGATGATGTTATTTTAGAAACTGAATTTGATGGTGAAAGAAATAAATTCACTATGTTGCAGGTAATTTATTTTATATTTTTTAATAAAATTTATTATTGGGACATTAGATAATTTTTAGAAATTTTTTCAATTAATAAATTATAACAAGAAAAATTTATTTAATAAATTTCATCTTAAAAATATTTAAAAAAATTTTATATTATTAAAATATAAATAAAATGGATTTTTATGATTAAATTTGGTATCATTGTGAAAGTCTTGATTTGAATTTCTGCATTTTCAAGGTTTCATATTATTCTCACCAATAGTCAATTTATGATGATAAGTATTTAGGCTGCGTTCGAAAATGCTCTATCTCAAGATACATAATAAAGAAATGGCCATGTTTTTTGTGAAATATTGACATTTTTCACGATATAAGCTCATTCCGACATTACACTCATCGAGACCTTTCATTTGAGTACCCACATCAATTTTTCATATATTTTATATATTTATATATATTATATACATGTATATATGAAAATGCATGTGGGTACTCAAATGAAAGCTGTTGATGAGTGTAACATCGGGATGAGCTTATATCTTTAAAAACGTCAATATTTAAAAAAAAGTTATTATTTAATAAAGCAATATTTTATTCATTTTTTATAGTTTACAAGTCACATAGTGACTAATTAAATTTGTTATACATAATTTATTAATAAAAAAATTCTCTAATGCTAATTTAAATTTAATTAATAATAAAAAGTAATTTTTTTAATAATTAATTATCAGGTTTGGCCAGTACGTCAACCAAGACCAGTAACTGAAAAATTACCAGCAAACCATCCACTTCTAACTGGACAACGAGTATTGGATTCTCTGTTCCCATGTGTACAAGGAGGAACAACAGCCATACCTGGTGCTTTTGGTTGTGGTAAAACTGTAATTTCCCAAGCTCTGTCAAAGTACTCAAACTCTGACGTAATTATTTACGTCGGTTGTGGAGAACGTGGTAACGAAATGTCCGAAGTACTGCGTGATTTCCCAGAGTTGACAGTTGAAATTGACGGTGTTACCGAATCAATCATGAAGCGTACTGCACTGGTCGCAAATACATCAAACATGCCTGTAGCTGCTCGTGAAGCTTCTATTTACACGGGTATTACTTTATCAGAGTATTTCCGTGATATGGGTTACAACGTTTCCATGATGGCGGATTCAACTTCTCGTTGGGCCGAAGCTTTGAGAGAAATTTCAGGACGTCTCGCTGAAATGCCTGCTGACTCTGGTTACCCAGCTTACTTGGGAGCGCGTCTTGCCAGTTTCTATGAACGTGCTGGAAGGTAACTATATTGATTTTTATTTCATTTTTAATTTATTAATAATTATTAATTTATTTTTAGAGTTAAATGTCTTGGTAATCCTGACCGTGAAGGATCCGTAAGTATTGTTGGTGCAGTATCACCACCTGGAGGTGACTTCTCAGACCCTGTTACCAGTGCAACACTGGGTATCGTCCAGGTGTTCTGGGGTCTTGACAAAAAATTAGCACAGCGCAAACATTTCCCATCTATCAATTGGTTAATTTCGTACAGTAAATATTTGCGTGCTCTTGACGATTTTTACGATAAAAATTTCCAAGAATTCGTCCCACTGCGTACTAAAGTAAAAGAAATTCTTCAAGAGGAAGAAGATCTTTCTGAAATTGTACAGTTAGTTGGTAAAGCTTCACTTGCTGAAACTGATAAAATTACATTGGAAGTTGCTAAATTGTTGAAAGATGATTTCTTACAACAAAACAGGTATAAATTTTTTTCATCATTTATTCATAAATTATAATAATTAAGATGTTAATTAATTTTATGTTGTTTTTTAGTTATTCACCATACGATCGTTTCTGTCCATTTTATAAAACAGTGGGCATGTTACGTAACATGATTGCATTTTATGATATGGCTAGACATGCTGTTGAATCTACAGCTCAATCTGATAATAAAATTACATGGAATGTTATACGTGATAGTATGGGAAATATATTATATCAATTAAGTTCTATGAAATTCAAGGTAATTATTTATTTATTATTATTATTTTTTTTATACTGTTTTAATCCAATGAATGATTTGAGAAAAAAATTTTTTTGTATCTTTAATATTTTATTTTAAATTTTTATTAATAATAATAATAATAATAAAATTTTTAAACACAAGTTATTATTATTATCTTGTTATTAAGAGAATAAGAAAAATTTTGTGTCCAGGATAATCATATGATAAAATCGGTTATTTTAGTGAGATTTAGTATGATTGTAAAGGTCTTAATTTGAATTTGTGCCTTTTCAAGGTTTCATATCATTCTCACCGATAGTCAATTTATTATGATAAGTATTGAGGCGACATTCAAAAATTCTTTATCTCTAGATATATAATTAACAAATGACCTTATATCTTGTCAACGATTTTTAACTATTGACATTTTTAAAGATATAAGCTCATCCCGATGTTACACTCATCGAGACCTTTCATTTGAGTACCCACATCAATTTTTCATACATTTATATATATTCTATATATGTATATATGAAAAATATATCAAAATGCATGTGGGTACTCAAATGAAAGCCCTTGATGAGTGTAACATCGGGATGAGCTTATATCTTTAAAATCGTCAATAGTTGAGAAACTATAGTGCAATTTAAGATAATTAAGAAACTACCTTGTATCTTGTGAACCATTGACATTTTTAAAGGTATAAGCTCATCCCGATGTTACATTCTTCAAGACCTTTCATTTGAGTACCCACATCAATTTTTCATATATTTTATATATTTATATATATGTATATATGAAAAATATATGAAAATGTATGTGGGTACCCGAATGAAAGCTCTTGATGAGTGTAGCATCGAGATGAGCTTATTTCTTTGAAAACGTCAATAGTTAAAAAAATACAGTGCAATTTAAAAAAAGTTATTATTTAATGAAGCAAATTTTATTTATTTATATTTCACAAGTCACAGCAGTCACATAGTGACTGCAAGGTTGCTAGTTATTATTATTATTATTATTATTTTTATACTTTTTTTATCCAAAAAAATTTTTTCGAATCTTTGATATTTTACTTATAATTAAATTCCAAATTTTTAGTAATAATGATAATAAAAATATTTTTTCATTTTAATAGGATCCAGTCAAAGATGGTGAGGCTAAAATTAGATCAGATTTTGATCAATTGTATGAAGATATTCAACAAGCTTTCAGAAATTTGGAAGATTAAATCAATCCATATACAAATTAATATTAAAAAAAAAAAAGAAAAAAAAATATATATATATATATATAATATTTAATTATAATAAAAACAAACAATAAGAAAAGTAAATAGAGTAAAAGTGAGGTTTTATCTATTTTAGATATTTTCATTAAAGTTTTAATAGATCATTTATTTTTCTTCACTAACGAACAAAGAATAAAAATTTTTTTGGTAATTTTAATTAATTAAAAAAAAATTTGAATGATTCTTTTCATAAACAATTTTTTGTTTCTTCTTTAATAGATATAGTCTCACTTGTATACGATTACTACAATTAGGTATTATTTAAATGTGTTTAAAATACCAGTTGTTTAAGGTCGTTCCAACGAACCGGCACACATTAATTATTATTTATAATAAAAATAATAAACATATTGTTTATTAAAAATAATACTAATATTAAATTGCATTCCGGATATTTTAATAACGTGTATAGATTAAAATTAATTTTTAAATTATAGATTTAAATAAAATATTGATCAACGATTCCACCTAATGCCTCGATTATGAAACAATTATTTATACATCCTTGTATATAATTACAATAATTGAAAGTAAATTTTTTAGAGGCAAAAATTTTTTTCATTTTTTTTTTTTTTTTTTTTTTTCAATTTTTTAATAGATATTAATCGAGACAATAAATAAATAATGAAGGTGGAACGTCCTTAAAAGCACGATGAGCTGGTAATGATGTGCAAACAATTAAAATTGAATATCAGGCTTGAAAAAAAAAAAAAAAAATCAACTTTAATTAAATTTCATTACTGGAAAATTAATTGTTATTAATATTAATAGTTGTCAAGTTTTATCGATGAGCAAAAATGTATAAAAATAATTGTTAATAATTTTTTTTTGGGATTTGAATCCACAAAAAATTAAATGAGAGTTTTAAAAAATAATAATGTATGATAAAAAATTTTTGAGCAGCTTTCCATATAAAATTTATTAAAAATAAAGTATTAGCTATTGTATCATATTATGTTAACATGATAGAATTTAAATAAATATAGAGCGAATTATAATAATGATAATTGATGGAAAGATTTAATTTTAGATGTTAAATAAATAAAAATTTATTTAATTATTAAAATACTATATAATAACAATAATTACGTTGATATGTTATAATATATAATAAATAACGTTTTAAAAGTATGAGGTGTGCTGGTTTTTGTCATCTATTAATTATTATATCTAGTTAATTGAGTTTACCAGCGCTTGTATTAATTTCATTGTACGATATGTAAAAAAAATTCAATGAAATATAAAAAAATTAATTGTGCTATTTATAAGTTTAATTAAAGGATTAAAAAAAATAGTATTATTCATTTTTTTTATTTTTTTAATAATAATATAACAATAACCCCGCGGTATATACATTAACGATATATTACATTTCTATATAATATGATTGCATAATTTTTTTCATACAGCCATTATTAATAATTTGTCTTTCACTCCGTTTATTTTAAATTTTACATGGGGTAAAATGAACTTGTATTATTTTTATTTAAAAAAGTAATAATTTTGTTTTTTCAGAATATTGAATTTAAAAAATTAATATTTTTAAATAATCAGAATTATAATATTTTTCTTAGTAATTTTTTTTTAGATAAATTATAGTTATGTTTTATTTTAGTCTGAGATTTTTTTCATTTTTTATTTATTTAATAATTGACTAAATAATGCATTGGCTTAAGATAGTAAATTATTCTTTTTTTCAATAATATAAGTTCATCATTTTTATTATCATTACTAGGCCCAGGATTTTTGCTTTAATTTCAAAATAGCAATTCATAATTATTTGTGTTAAATTTTTGATAAAAATTTAAATAAAATTTTTCAAATAAAAATTGTTCAAAATTTAATAAAAAAAAAAAAAAAGTCAATTTTTTCTTAGGACCAATAAGCCGTAATTTCAAAATTAAAATTTTCATAGTAAAATATTTAAATATTTTACTATGAATCTTAATTTTGAAATTACGTATAAAAAATTCATGAGACATTTTTTTTATAAAATTAAATTTTCTACAACTTTTGGTTGAAAACTTTTTTACTCAAACCAATATTTTCGCCGTAATAATAAATATTTAAGCGATTAATTTTTAAATAAAGGCAAAAATCTTGGCCCCAATCATCACCCATGTAGAATTAAATGTAACTGATAAATTCAACTTATCGACTTTTAGATAACAAATCGTATTATGGCGTCTAAAGATAAATATTTATATTTACAATTTAAATAATAAGGTGATTAAAATCAGTAACAAAGAAATAGAGAGATACACTTTGAGAGAGAATCGACAAAAAAATAATATTAAATAAAAAAAAATCCAAAATAGTAATATAAATGATTAATTATCAGTTAACATTGACTGATTACTATTAAATTAACTGTAAGCTAATTAATGTTAGATACTACAACATTAACTTTGCGTAATTGATCATTTTCACGTTGCAATCTTTGTACATGCTGTTTTAGTGCCGTAACTTCTTGCCGCAATTTTTCATTGTCACGTAAACATTGTCCTAGGCCTTGATTCGCTGCACGTAATTCTGTGATATATTCGCACGCTTTTGCCAATATTCCACCCTTACTCTAAAAAATATATATAAACGTTAATAATAATGATTAAATTAATACTAATTTAATCTTATCATTTTGATATTTTTATCTCTATTACTTCTGAGATAATTGAATTAATTTGTCTACCCTCTGTCCGGTTAAATTTTTTCGTATGTATTTTAGTAATCATTTCCGGTTCTTATATTTTTTTTCTTCCTAATTTATCAACGCTAAAAAAAAGTAATATAAAAAAAATGACAAACAAAAATTTTTTTATAATTTCTTAGCAATTAAAAAAATTTAATAATTTTTTTTATTGAATAAATTATCACAAAAAAATTAAAAGAAAAAATTTCACAAGTTTAAAATTTGAAAAATTATCCTCGCAATTTGTTTTACTTGTTTAAAAAATAAAAAATTGTTAAACGTCGGCTACTTTTAGTATCATTAAAAAAAAGTATTGCATACTTTTTATAAAATCAATATTAATGTTAATACTTATATTTAAGTAATCATTTCCGGTTTTTATATTTTGTTTTCTAATTTATCAACGCTAAAAAAATAAGACGAAATTTTTTATATAATTTTTTAGCAATGATTTTAATAAAAAAAATTCCACATGTGAAAATTAAAAAAATTCTTAGTGAATATTTTTAGAAACTGTTTTTTTTATTATTAAAATTCAAAAAATTAACAGTTGTCAGCTAATTTTAGTAATAAAAATTAAATTAACCGACACCTGAAAATTTTAATAATTTTTTTTATCGAATAAATTAATACAAAAAAATTAAAAGAAAAAATTTCACAAGTTGAAAAATTTGAAAAATTATCCGTGCAATTTTTTTTAAGTATTTTTTGCTTGTTTAAAAAAACAAAAAATTGTTAAACGTCGGCTAATTTTAGTATCATTAAAAAAAAAAAAAAAGTATTGCATACTTTGTATAAAATCAATATTAATGTTAATTGATGCAATTCTTGAATAATTTATCTTTAAATAAGAATATTAATTAAACAAAGTCAAAGAGTCAAAACTGTACTGATAAAAAAATAGAATAAAATTACCTGTGTTTCATAATTAGTTTTTCCCTCACTGCTACTTCCATTGCCATTACTCGTACCCGAATTATTGCTACAGTCAGGTATAATTTTACCTAGTTTAGCAATCCAATTATTTATTTTATCTCTTCGTCTACGTTCAACTTCATTATGAGTTGCTCTTCTTTTATCATCACGCTAACAATTAATAAAATAAATAATGAAAATTAATTTAGCAGATATTTGATAATTTTTAAAATTTTTTAAAAATAATTTTTCGGAACAAATTTATTTGTCAAAAAAAGCTAAAAAATAATCAAGTGACTGCTAACTTTAATGTTATAAATAAATAACAAAAATAAACCAAAAAAAATATTAATAAAATAAATATTTATACCTTTTTTAGACCAGGTGTATTATTTCTCGGTGTTTCAATTTGTAATGTCGTTGTGCGTGGAGCAAGTGACCGAGAAGTTTGTGAAGTTGTAAATACCTCATTAGTACCACCGACAATATAAAATTGTCCATTAATAGGAGACGTCAACACTTGAACAGAATTATTCCCATGCTGCTGTACTGGTAATTCAATTTCGTTGCTAACCGAATTACCATTAACTTGTACAACCCGATAAGCTAGTGCTTCTTGATAGCGTAATCCATCATCGGGTACTCCGTCCCCTGATAGAGGATCATATGCTTCATCAGCGATAGAAAAATTTACATTTTTCATAATTATTATTACTTTACAACTTATATCTATTTTCTATAATTATTAATAAATAAAATTAAGACTCACAATCACAATCGACTATTTCAGCTTCTTCAATAACAATACTCGTTTCATTTTCATCCTTTGGATTGCCACTGTAAATTAAATAATAATAATAATAATAACAACAAAAATTAATGAAAAATTATTATACACTTCAATGAATAAAAAAAATTTTTTTTTTTTTGTACCTAGTGTCGGTAGTAATAATTTTAATGAGTTAATAATTTAAAAGTTTGTTAAAATAAATAAAAAAAAATAACTAATTAAGTGCGCACTGTACACAGATGACCTTGAAGCGAATAACGATACGATTGTTGAAACTATAAATGCTATTGGAGAAATAAAAAAATAATAAAATAATAATATGCTTCTAGGTTACCTGACGTCTTGTGGATCAAGATGACTGTCAAGAATGTCCATTATTTTTTAGCTAAAAAACGTTTGAATTTGTCGAAATTCACGTGAGCTGGTCACGGGACACGGCAACGAGGTCATGTGGTGCACAAGATGTCGGAATGCTCAGCGCGCGCATATGTTATCTTTTATTTTTTATCACTTTTATTCTTTTTTAGTTTTCTCGCTCTTGGTTCTTTAGCTGACTTGTGCTTACATCATCATCAACATCATTACATCCGCGAATTTTGTGTAAATCACTTGTATGTTTGTGCATATGTGTGTTAATTTTTATCTGTGTTGGTGAGCTCGTTAATTTTAATAATTATTTATAATTTATCTTCCTAAAGCTAGAGGGCGGCACTTGGATTTGTCGACTTATAAAATTTATCCGAACAGAAATGTAGCCAATGTAATAATTGTAAAGGAATTCAAAAAGTAACTTGCTCTTTAACAAGTTATATACATTTAATACTTTATACATAACACTTAATATATGTCAAATAATAGTAAATTTTATATAATAAAATACACACATTAAAACATTTAAATATCATATTTATGAAAAAAATTAAACTGTAACCCATGAAACATTACAAAAGAACGACAATTGATCTGTCTTCCAAGTCTTCTATAAGTCATAAGTAAGAAATTAGTTGTCGGTAAGGTAAATTTTTTTAGGTAACTGGCGGTGGAGGAAATTTAAATTATATAATCTAAATTCAAACACAACCTTTTTATTCTAAATAAGAATAATTCTTCTTGAAAATATTTATTGTTTTTATTTATTAAAACAAAAAATCGCTTATTTAATGGGAAATTATTTATTTTTCTTTATAAAGTAATTTTTTGTTAATTATATAAAATATTAAAATCAAACTGTTTTTTATTTTTTTCAACTTAAACTATTATTTATTTATACACTTTCTCAAAATTTATCGATATTAAAAAAACAAAAACATCTTTTTTTTTTTATGATATCTAAATGTTTTAATGTGTGTATTTTATTATATAGAATTTACTATTATTTGACATACATTAAGTGTTATGTATGAAGTATTAAATGTATATAACTTGTTAGAGAGCAAGTTACTTTTTGAATTTCTTTACAATTATTACATTGGCTACATTTCCGTTCGGATCACTCAGATGACCCCATTTCGGGAGAAATAGTTTTAAATTCAAATAAACAAAATGGAAGATATTTACATACCTGTCAGCTGACAATTGTCAATTTTTTTTTATTTTGATAACAAATAAATTACAATAAAAAAATGCTTCTAAAAATTTATACTTATAATTTTTTCAATTTTCACATGTGGATTTTTTTTTTAATAATTCCATTGATATAAAATCATAAAAAATTTTCTTGTCTATTAACTTTATTGTTATCTTGATATATAAAAAAATAAAAATTATTATAAGAGATAGAATGACAGGTAAGAATTATTTGATACTCAATACTATTGTTACTATTTTTTTTACATAATAAAAAATCGAGCGCGCTTTTGCCAACATGTTTATTTTCGACAATTTAATTATATAATCAATATTTTTACAAGTCCCTAGCGGATTCCTGGTGACGGTTAAACTACGGTCAAACGACGGTGAATTCACTTTACCGATGAAGGAAAGTCTATTGGCGGTCGAACAACCGTCATTTGACGGTGAAAAATAAGTGAAGTTGTGAAATGTTCTGACGGTGATTGCGCATGGTTCATACAGCAATCATTCACAAGATTTTCTCCATGTGTTTCCCACTCAATAACGATGATTTTCCGACATCTTGATCGTTTTCAGACATAGATACAACGGTGAATGACTAGTAAAAATTCGGTGAATAAAGAGTATTTCGGTGGTGAATCCACGGTAGTCTGCGAGTGAATTTCAGGTCAAATGGCGGTAAAGAAGATAGTAACGGTAAAGTAGAAATTTTATACCAGCGATCCATTGATAAATTGCTGGATGAAGTTTTATTTGTAAATGTAAAAAAATTTCATAAATTAATATACGGGGCTAATAAAAAATAAATAAATAGTTAATAAAAATAATTCGAAAAAGTATTCAGTCACTACAATTTTTGACATTTTAAGAAAAACACTTTTTATAAATTTTTGTAAAATTTCAGGATTTTTTGTTTTATGAAATTTTTAATTTAACATGGGCTCATGAAATGAAAAAAAAAAAATTTTTTTTTATTAATAAAATTTAGTGAATTTATTTTTGGTGACTAATTAAAAGAAAATGATTTATTATTGAGAATTTATGAAATAGAAATAATTATCAAAACTAAATTAAGTATCTGTAAAATACATGATGATTAAAATGCATTTAAACAGAAGTCTGGGATAGCATAACAGGAAAATCCCTCGACTTTCAAACTGGTGAATCGAGTTCGATCCCCGGTCTGGGCGAAGTTATTTTATAATGATTTTTTTTAATTATTATCGTATACGCGAACATTTTACGAGCTTAATATCGATTATTCTGGGTGAATGAACCTATTTTCTTTCATCGGATTCCCACGATGACACGGTGAATCAACCGCAACGAGCTAGTTGTTTGTCAGTGATATGCGGGTGAATTGATGGTGAAATGTCGGTCAAATCACCGTAAATTCACCCACAGAAAAACCCAGTTAGCACAAGCGAAACGAAGTTCACGTAAACCTGCGGCCGGAATTTGACGTAAAGTTTACGCTAACAGTAGAGCAACAGTTATACTTACAACAGTTGACGTGAAGTTAACGTTAACTTTCTGCAACTTTGCGTTAACTTTGAGCGAACCTTTCGGAAAATTCCGGTAATAGATTTACGCTAACTTGATGTGTAAGTTAAAGTCAAGTTCTGGGAAACTGTTGCAAATGCAGAGGTTGACGCGAAGTTAACATAAAGTTGACGTAAAACTATTGAAGTTGAGTAAAAATCTGTAAAAAAAAAAAAGTTGGTATCCTAAAGGTGAAAGGGCGTATCTCAAGACATACGCCCTTTCACCTTTAAGAAAAGTACTACTTAAAAGTAAAAGGGCGTATAAAAAAAATTGTATTTTTTATACCAAATGGTCAATAATAGTTTCACAAGACAAGTTATACTCAAATAACAGCCTCATATATACAAAGTTTGATATAAACAAATAGAAAATAAATCAATCAATAGTATTTTTCTTATCTAGGGCAGGAAAATAAGAAATGTCTCAGATTACATGTAATTGTTGACCGAGGCGAAGCCGATAATTAAAGACATATGCCCTTTTACCTTTGTAATTTTTTTTTTTTCAATTTCAAGCGCAGAATGTGTCTACTACTCGATTGGCAATAAAAAAAAAAATTATGCGCCCTTAAAAGGTAAAAGGTACAAGGTACAAGGTAAAGGTAAAAGGGCACATAAATTGTTATAAGTCCTTTTACCATTAAGCACGCGATATCGTTAAAAATATCATCAGTAAACAAAATACAAAGTCATTCCTTAATTATTGACATTTTTTAAGATATAAGCTCATCCTGATGTTACGCTCGTCGAGACCTTACATATGAGAATACCCTGTCACGTTCGACAGTTGCGATGGTTAGTAGGTTGATGAGAATGATGAAATGATGAGACTAACAATTTTAGGCTTACAACAATTAAGGAGGTCAGGCCGATAAGGCTCTTACGACACGTCACGTAATTGTATGCTTGATTGAAAAGTCGATTGTTTTTGTAAACGCCGAGCGGTTTACGTTTACAAAAACGTGTTGATCTTGTTTATCGATCTGCGTGGCTGTAGATCCAAGATCGTGAAAATGAAAATGAAAGATGGCGGTGAGGGTGATCCACTCCTCGTGAAGAATGTTTTTATTCGTTTGACAGCAAGGTTTATTTAATGTAATACTAGTTATGTTTATTTATCTGGATTTATTTGATGAGATTGAGAAATACAATTTTAATTTAAAATGTTATTACAATTATGTTGTATTTATATATCTATATAAGTATTTCTTACCTAACCTCCAGATAATATTTTTCACTGAAGGTGTACAAACTATTTTTCGCCCAGAAGTGTCTGTTTATTAAATCTACCTTAACCTTCCGCACAGTTACTTCGGGTATGACTACTAGGCCACCAAGCGGATGTGAACCTCTATTCAATACCCCGTTCGCAAATGCAGATCGTTGGGTCCTGATTAAACTCTCAATAATAATCGCCAAGCGGATACGAAATTATTGTAGAATTGTCAGGGGGTCCAAGGTAACTTTTTACGGCTGAGCCGGAGTTGAATCGCGAGGCAGCAGGTAGAACCGCACTTTTGGAAACTAACTGATTTTTTTATTAATTCGTGGCTCTTTATGCTAAATTCTGGCCTCGAAATAGGAGTTTAATTTGTGAAAAACCGAATATTTAGAGCAATTACGTAGTAGCTATTAAGAAAAAGAGTTTGAATATACGTCACAGCCCTTGAAACTACTTGAAACTACTCGTAGAGCTGTGTCGTCATAGACCTTGAATACTCTCATTTTCCGAGCAGAGATTTTACTCTTATCATCGAGTCATTGGGCGTGTTTGGCCGAAGTAAGTACTTACTAAACTTAGTAAGCCAGTTAGCATAAAAAAAGTAAAATCTTACAAGCTGACTATAGCGCTTTTCGGCCAGGACAGACTTACTGGCTTAACATAACACAAAACACCGGTTTACATTATATCCCGTACATAACCTTATAGACTGAATATAATTGACAGTACTAAATTTAGCAATAAAATTTAATTCCTGTAAATAGTTGCAAATGGATAATTTTATGAGAAATATTTTATTGGAAGAAATATTAAACTACCCAGTAGATAATATCGATAAAAATAATAATGGATAAAAAATGGTTTTATAAATTTATTTCAAATTTTTTTTAATCAACATAACATTTCAACTGTAAATTTAGTATAAACAATGATAGCTATTTCTAATATTAAGAATAAGTAATATAAATCTTAACGCTGATTTAAGTAAACAATCAATGAAATAATGGAAATATATATTTCTTTTAGAACTTGTCATACTCATAGATCTCTTTTTTTAAATAATATACGTAAAGCTTGTCACAAGTTAGAACACTATAAATATTTATTTGCAGGTATTAATTGCTTATATTAATTACAATCAAATATACTTAACTATCTATACAAGTAGATATTTAACTTCACTCATATTTTTTCTAAATAAGCAGTCTTTTTTCTTATTTGAATTATCTATAAATTTGTTATATTATAAAATATATAAAAAAAATAATCAAAATCAAAACTGCACTGGATAAATATAAAAAATTATAGTTAATTATATTTATTATAAATATGAATAAAACTATGTTTTACAAACATTATTCGATGTCAACTTTACTCAATTATATATAATTTATATATCTAATATCTGTATGCATAGTAAAACTTTTTTTTTTAATTTATTAAATCATTTTATTGGAGTACAGATTGCGCAGAGCTGAGAAATTTTGAGTACAGTTTTATCTTTGCCGGATAAAATATTATTAAATAAAAAAAAATTGAATAGAGATTTTTAGAAGCTCGCCATCACTTATAATATACTATTGAGTCGAGATGAGCGTGAATATTCGCCCGATGGCACGGGGGAGCACGGTGGCACGGGTGAAATGGTCATTTTTGCCATTTTTTCGCGCATCAAAAAATTTTTGATTTTTTTTATTAATTAAATTACAACTAAAAAGATATTTTTAAACAAATGCACTTATAGTCTTTCAAGTTTTTTACATGTGAAATTTTTTTTTAATTGTTTCACCCGTGCCACCGTGCCCCGTGCTGCCCCGTGCCACCGTGCCCCGTGCTGCCCCGTGCCATCGGGCGAATATTCACGCTCAATTAAGTAAAGTTTTTTTTTTTTTTAAGTTAATCAATTATTTTAGTAAAGTACAGGATGTCGCAGAGTTGAGTAATTTGGAGTAAAGCTGTGTTACTGCTTACTTTACAGTCTTAGAATATCCATAACTCCTTAACTTATTAACGAATAGCGATCATCGATGTGGAAAATAGATGTCAACATGAGTTTATGTTTCATCAATTAGCAAGCTTGTTTGATAGATTTTTAAGAATCTCATTGTCCTCTTTGAAAACAGCGATCAATTCGCTGACTCTTTGGTTCCAGATTTCTATCTGTTTGTTTTGTATGTGGCGGTGATAATAGATGCTTTTGCCTCTAGCCAACTTCAAAAATTTTGGTGACAATTGCACATTTGCACTAGTATTATCAGGTACTTTTTGAGAAGATGAGGTTTCCTCTGCCGTATTTTCTTGATTATTAGCTTGACTGAAAAACAAACAAATATTATGTATTCATTTTAATCCCTTACTGGCTATTGTCTAAATCATATTCTTCTTAAAGCAATAAGAGTAAAAAGTAATAAAGTTCTTTAAATGCATCTATCCAATAAAGATAGAAAAATTTATTACTTTAACATGGAAGCTCGAACAATCATGTGTAAAATACACATAATTTTGAAGTAATTTAAATGGGAAAAAAATATTATTCAAGCTGAACAGAAACTTCAAAATTACATTCAAGTTAAATTTTTTCAAGTATTTTTTACCCAGTTTGCCTGTCAGGGATTAAAAATAGAATTATTAATTGCTATGGTCACTTTATTTCATCAAACCTTGTTGATTCAGTTGATAAGTTCATTGGTTCTTCATTTACGTAAGACATTCTTGTCATCACAATTGAAGAAAAATTAATTCATAAATCGTTATGAAAGATATCTTCCATCTGAGGTACTTGCTAAACAGATATATAGTTTTAGCTAAATTAAATAAAAATTCGTTTGATTTTTCAAAGATAAGAATTTATGATCTCAATTTAAAATGATTTATTTTTTTCATTGTATTACTGAAATTACAACGATGATTGACAAGTTTTAATTTTTTTAACTTACCTTTTTTCAATGATTCATGAAAAGCTTGATCAGTGATCACCTTCGATATTATAAATTGTTCCGCAATACTCATAGGAACACACGATTAAAGAATTATCGCTCATTTTAGAAAATTCTATGATACGTAATTATCCACACAAGTTTTTCACTGTCAACTAGTTTTTATGTCTGAAATTATTATATTGAGTGCTTGTGTATTTGAATAATGACAGATCTGTTTCTGTTTGTTTTGTTTACATCAACAATAAGCAAAATGGCGTCTTATATTAAGCCATGCTTACTGCGTTAGCACTTATTTTGTGTCCCGGCTGAAAATTTTGTAAGTATAGTGAGTGACTTACTAAATTTAGTAAGTAGTTACTTCGGCCAAACACGCCCATTGCGTGATGTTACTAACTAGGCCCTCGCCGCCTTATCTAAAGCTGCCTCTCGCTTCCACTCACGGTGTCAGTATACCTTATTATTATCTTAAAAATATGAATATAAAATAAAAAAATTTATAATATTTTGTTATTATAAGGGTGATCAATGAAATCAAATTGATTTTATACGACCGGAATTACTATGTATCGGGATGTTACAACCCACACGAATTTTTTATATATTTCATATATTTTACAAGTATGAGAAATATCATTTATATAAAATATATGGAAAAATTCGTGTGGCTATTCAAATGAAAGGTTTCGATAAGTGTAACTCCAGGATGAGCTTATATCGTTAAAAATATGAATACCCACACGAATTTTTTATATATTTCACAAATATAAGTAATACCATTATTATAAAATATTATTCTAACTCGTTATCATCTTTTTCAGTCATTATTATGCTAGTATGAATCTAATTCAAGTGGATGGAAATTTTCCATCTTCACTAACAATTTGAGACAATCCGTCTTCGGATAGTTAGGTCGTTAGGTCGATGGGCAACCATCAAACTTGAACAATAAGTAAGCTGGTGAGTGCTAGAATCTGTTCGACTTAATTTTTAAGTATTAACGATGGAAAGACACTGAGAATGAAGAGCAACTTTGAAAAATCCATGAAAAATTAACAAAGCCAGGAATCGAACCTGGATCTCCCCGATATCATGTCAGGTTGCTTTACCAGTTAAGCTACCGGGTCATTCTTCACTTACTTTCTCTCAGTATACACTTAACTCTCAGTAGTTGTTAATACTAACCCAACCCCCTCCCTTGAAACTCCATACTACGATGGAAACTGTAGTACTTCTGTTTCTATTTCTAGGCGCTTTTTAAATTTAATCTTGTTTATTTTTCTCAACCGTGATTTTTTTTATAATTATTCTAACTCGTTATCACCTTTTCGTAAGTAAGAAAGTAAGTGAAGAATGACCTGGTAGCTTAACTGGTAAAGCAACCTGACATGATATCGGGGAGATCCAGGTTCGATTCCTGGCTTTGTTAATTTTTCATGGATTTTTCAAAGTTGCTCTTCATTCTCAGTGTCTTTCCATCGTTAATACTTAAAAATTAAGTCGAACAGATACTAGCACTCACCAGCTTACTAGTGTTCAAGTTCGATGGTTGCCTATCAACCTAAGTATCCGAAGACGAATTGTCTCAAATTGTTAGTGAAGATGGAAAATTTCCATCCACTTGAATTAGATTCATACTAGCATAATAAGGACCGTTTTTGAATTATTAAACTAAGAAATTGATAGATAATAGTTAATAATAATAATAGAAATTAGCTATGAAATAGAATAATGAAATAAATGACTTACTTGATTTTCTGTAGAGTACACAATTTTAAATATTTTTAACAAAAGACACAAGTTTTTTTTAAACTGAACGACTGATTGAAGTAACTGCAGGCAGAGGACTGAAATTTGGAGACAAGTAAGTATAACTCCCCACCAACGATCCCCTCTCAACGACGACGCCAAAAACAGGTTTAAACTGGTCGGATGAAGTGACAACATGACGTAATCGAGAGAGGAGAGGTTAAAAACCGTTAAAATTCACGATGACGACGCGAAAAAACAGGTTCAAACTTGTCAGATGACGTAAAAAACATGATGTAATCGAGAGAGAGGCTAAAAAACGTTAAAATTCAGAAAAAACTCATACCACATGTCGATAAAACAGAACATCTATTCGGT